GCTTACCGGCTTCTTTACATGCTCTTCTCCTGGCGGTGGCTGCAGTGTCTCTCCCTCCTTCTTCCTGTTTCCCCAATTCTCCTCTCTCTTTGTCCCGCCTATACTTCCTGCCTGGTCACTGGCCATCAGTGTTTTATTTACATAGAGTAATATCCACAGCAAATTGTGAACTGTTTTTATTCAGTTATTTTAAGAACATTTTCCAAGGTTTTACTACATTTAGTGTGTGTGTGTGTGTGTGTGTGTGTGTGTTACAGTATGCAGGACAGTGCGTATGTCGAGGTCAGAGGACAGCTTTCAAGAGTCGGTTCTTCTTTCTACCATGGAAGTTCTGAGAACGGAACTTGGGTCATCAGTTTTGGCAGTAAGCACTTTTACCTGTATTACTAGTTAATTTCCTGTTCCTGTGATAAAACACTGTGATCAATGCAACTAATAGAGTTTCTTTGGGCTTATGGTTCTGGAGGGAGAGTCCATCATGGTGGCGAGGCGTGGCCGCATACGGCAGGCACTTCTGTAGCGACACGACGCTGAGAGCTCACCTCCCTTAATTCAAGCACAAAGGAGAGAGAGAAACTGGAAGTGGAGAAGGGATGTTTAAGCTCCAAGCCCATCCCCAGCGACATACTTCCTCCTGCAATGTAGCATGAAGTAAACCTCCCCAAACAGTGCCACCAACTGGGGACCAAGACTTCAAATATCCAAGACTTTTGGGGACATTTTTTCATTCAAACTACTGTACCTGCTGAGGCCTCTTGCCAGCCCCACATACTGTTTTATAAACACTAAAGGATGTGGAACTGAATGTGGTGGTAGAGGCCACGGAAGTGACATGGATGGGATGGGGCACAATGGCCCCATCTCGGGTTGGAGCTGATGTCCCCAAGTCTAGTTTAGTCGGGGGCAGAAGTGAGAGAGTCCACAACCCCAGTAACTGGAACTGGTTAGGAAGCTCCTGTAATGCGGCTCTGATCACAGCAGGAACAGCATGTTATCTAGACTCCCAAAGAGCTTGTTCTCTTCTAGAAGGCCTGAAAGTGAAGACCCAGTCTGGGCGGGAGGACCAGAGCTGCTGGAAAAATTGAAGTCTACAGGAGACAGTGGAGCTCTCGCGTAGATCAGGAAATACAAGTTAAGAGGCTTGCTCTCAAAATGGAGCCTATGTGACTCATTAGCTGGGTGGACTCAGTGTGGTGGCACAGTGGTCTCCCTCAAGGGAGAGCCTCTTGCTTTGGCTGCTATTAGGAGAGCCGTTGGCAGATAGCTGTCAGTTGTGTGTAGGGTACCTTTGGGGTCTGCCTCAGCTTCAGAGAGCAGTTCATCTTCATCATAACCTTTGAGGGGGTGGTCTCTATTCTTTGATGGATGGTTGCTAGAGCACAGAAGTCTGGACATCTTGAGACAGCTGGGAAAGGCCATTCTCTCCCCATAGTTTCCTGTGGGGATGACCAAGGCTGACCTTGGGTTTGTATCATGGCCATCTGACCTCTTTCCTCTTTCTTCTCCTCTTTCCAAGGGTATTTCACCGATCTCCAGGGCTGCAGCAACTTGAATGTGTCTCCCCAAAGCTCTAGTGTTCGCTGAGTTCAATAGACACAGGCATGTACACATGCCCATAATTCTAGCACTCAGGAAGCTGAGGCAGAAGAACCATGGATTTGAGGGCAGCCCATGCTACATAGTGAGTCCCTGTCTCAAACCAACCAACCAACCAACCAACCAACCAACCAACCAACCAACCAACAAACAAACACCCCCCAACTCAAAACAAAACAAAACAACTTCTTGTGTTGGGAACTTGTTTCTCAAATTCCTGTGTTGATGGCATTTGGAGGGGAGACCTCTGGAAAGTAATATCAGATGAGATCATGAGGATAGGGCATCCTTGGTGACTTTATAAGAACAGGAAGAGAGACTTCACCTAGGAGGGCTGTTCTAGGTGATGCTCTGTGTCATGCTATAACACACCATGATATCCTTCAGCAGATGCTAAGACTGTGATCTTAGACTTTCTAGCCTCCAGAACCATGAACTACATAAACCTTTATTCTTTGTAAATTCCCCAGTCTCTGGGATTTTATTGCAGTAACTGAAAATGGACTAAGACATACATACTCATCTCTGACTCGGGGCTTCCTTCTCAAAGAACCCAACTTGGAAGATGCAGGCAAGTTAATTTGTTTACCAAACCCCCAGCTTCCTTCCTGGGGGCTTATTTTGTGCTCTAACTGATTCACCATAGTCACAGACCAGTTCCCAGGGAGCCACCCAGTCAATACTGGGGCAGTGCTCTGTTAACTGTTTTTTATTAACTACAGTGGCTGCACCTTAAGCAACAGCTTTGGCCGCAAGGGCTGCAGCCTGAGGGGTTTCTGTTCCCTCAGGCACTGACTCTTTCAAAGCTACTAAGGGAAACTTGATCTACAATCAACGAACTCAGGATTCAATGGTTTAGGTGGAATTCTGCTCCCTCAGAGAGGCTGAATAGCAAGTAGCTAACCTTCTCCCTTTGCTGGCATCTTCCAAAAACCCAGCGTCCTTCTCTCAGCCTCTACTTAAAACACTCTTGCTTCACATGGTTCCTTCCTACCACTTCCTGTCAGCTACTTGCTGACTCAGCCTTCTGCTCACAGGTTAATTTTATTTAATCAAACACATCTTTGAATTGTTAACAAAAGCAGTGGGAAAAAATGCAACACACGTTTAAAATAATATTCCCCAACAGTGCCCATCAGTATGCCCAGATGCTAGGACTCGATGATGACTGGAAACACCACACCTCACTGAGTGTTCCTAGGCTATGCATACATCTAGAAAGGTGTCTGATGTAAGCCAGAGTCCCTCCTGATGTTCAAGGCTGCTAGTTCAACTTGGCCAGTTCCATGGGACAGTGGTCCACAGCCCTGAAGGTCGGGATGGGGAGGCCTAAGTCCTTGGGGCTGAGAAAGCTTCTCTGAAAGAGGCACTTCTAAGTTTTTTGAGCCCCAGGAGGTAGCGACAGGGGAACTGTTGTCTTCATGGTGGGCACAGCAGAACCCTGGCCTCTCTAAGGGCCACAACATATCATATCTGTTTTGTCAAGGAAGGCCTTTCTTTGTTAGTGGGGTGGTACGAATCCCCCTCCCCCGGAACAGTGGCGCCAGCCCTCAGTCCCATCCAGAGCACACAGGGCAGGCTGCTTTCCTTTTCTGTCCCAGCACTGGCTATGACCTCTCAAAACTAATCCAGGTGTTTTGTTTTGGATTTGGGTTTTTGAGACAGGGTCTTGTGTAGCCCAGGCTGGCCTTGACCTCACTGGATAGCACAGGATGACCTTGAACTTCTGATCCTCTCGCCTTTGCCTTCTGTGTGCTGGGATTACTAGTCATGACTAGTTGTTTTAATACGCAATTGATTATGCTGCTGGTTTTTGCTCATTTGTTTTTTACTATTACCTTACCACAAATTAGAATCACCTGTGGTGGGGGGAGCAACCCTGAAGAAGTGTCCTGATTGCCTTGATTACGGTGGGAAGACCCGCCCCCCTGCCGTAGGTGACACCTTCCGGTAGCAGCCCGGATGAAAGGGGGAGTTCCGGAAGGAAGCTCGCCTTTTGCTGGCTTGACTTGCCCTCCCTGCCACTTGACGTGCCTAGTTGCTGCTGCGACATAGCCCAAGTCACTTACGTGCACTGACAGTTCAGAGGAAAATGTCCTTCTTGGAGGGAGCCTCCGGTAAAACCCCAGGCTTGGCTTTTCCTCCACGAGAACTACTAGCCAGCATGTGGCCACTGAGCCCTTGAAACTGTGGCTGCTCTGAACGGTGATATAAAATACATCTCAGATTCCCAAGGGCACAAGCACCAAATATAGGTGGTCTCATTAGTAACGGTTCGCGTGGATCACAGGTTGAACGATACTATTTTGGATCTATTGGGTTAAGTAAAACTTAGTTTCACTTGTTTTTACATCTTGACAAACTATGGCCGTTAGGACTCTTGGGCTCAGTCAGTGGGCTGCGTGGTAGCTGTACTGGCCAGTGCAATTGCACGTCCCTTTCCCCTCATTTATTTCAGTTCAGACATCTGTGGCACAGGCCAGCAGTGCCCAGCCCAGGCTGGCATTTGCACAGTGCTGAGTGCCGCTGGGAAGCCTTGCTGCTCAAACCTGAACCTCTGCACACCCACTTTAGCTAGGGATCAGTGGATCCTAGCACTGAGGGAGCTGCCCTGTGATACTTGGACCAGGTCACCAAGGCCACCCGTTCCCTCCAGACTGGAGCCTCAGGGTCTGCCTTTGGGTTATCTGTAGCATTTAGCTGTCTCAAATCAGAACTTTTTTGTGTGCATTTATTTAATTTTCATCAGCTCCATACATGTATACTACACATTGTGATCATATTCTCCAACCCCCATGAAAGCCTTTAAAACAAACAAACCCCAAACAACAACAATAACAAACACAAAAGAAGACCATAGAATTTTTAGGAGGTAAGCCTAGAAGGCAGAAGTAGGTCACTAGGGGCAGGTCTACGTATGTGTGTGTGTGGGGGGAGGGTGGGGGCAGGTGTTGTCACGATGCACATGTGGAGGTCAGAGGACAGCTTTCCAGAGTGGGGTCTCTCCTTCCATCATGTGGATTCGGGGCACTGAACTCAGGTCATCAGGCTCTGTGGCAAGGATCTTTACCTGTTGAACCATCCTGCCAGCCTAAGGAAAGTTTTTGTTTTTGTTTTTTAAATACTAGGGAAAAAAGACAAAAAAAGGAAAAGAAGAAAGTAAAGCAATTTGGTTACTGGGCAAAGATATGAGGAAAGAGGGCAAGTGAGGATTCCATCAGGCCCTGGATGAGGCTGGGCTGCTTTAGAGCATCATTATGGGGAAGGCCAGCAAGGAAAGATCCTTTGAAACCATCTGTTTCTGCAAAAGGGCCAGGTGCCACCCTGACAGATGGGCACCAGAACTAGCTAGGCATGGAGCCAGCTAGTTCTTGGCCAAATGGCAGAGAGTCTCTTAGCTCGTGTGAGCACCACCCACGCCTGGCCAAGATGTGCCCACAGGGGCACATGACTTACATCATTCTGCCTTTCGAGGCAGAGTTCAGTGGGGTGCTTAAACCTTACATGAAGGCAACTGTCAGGAAGTGGGCAGAAATGCTGGACTTTGTCCACTCTTTGCAGCTTAGAAAGGGGAACACTTCCTTTACACCCTTGGAAACTGCCTGTTACAGCAGAATCAAACATTTCCCATAGCAGTTTTCTATATTTCATAATAATGTAAAGTGGTCTCCTCTAAACCACAGGGTTACAGGACCCCCCGAATGGATTCCCCAAACTGCAGCTAGTACCCAACCATAACCACACTGCGTTTTTTCTATATACACATATCTATGATAAGTTTAGTCAGTTAATTTTTGCCGCTGAGGATGATCCCACACGTCTGATCCCCCCATGTTTACCTCCCAAGCCCTGGGATTATAGGTACGCACCACCACACTTGGTTTACACAGGCTGGGGATTGAAATCAGAGCTTAGCGCCTGCTAGGCAAGCATGCTGGAAGCTGAGCTGCAGACCCAGCCAGTTAATGAATCTTTTAATGCTGCTTTTTTTGGGGGAGGGCAGTATTGGGGATTGCAACCAGGGTCTTGCACACACTAGGTTCTATGTTCCACCACCCATGCATCTTAAAATAACTTGATTTCCTTTAATGTTAAATTTTCTTTATGGTGCCGTGAAGTCCATCAAATATAATTTAGGATTGTTTTTACTATGTCACTTACCACTTCCATCACTGTAGATCAATAAACATATGAGCATATTATTTTGAACATGCTGAGACATTATCTCAAATGTTTTCTGAGTATTTTAGCATAATTGTAAGGGAAGTCCTTTGGGGGCCAATGTTGGCATTTTCATAAATACAAAGTATAATTTATGACACAAGCTTTGGACTCCAAAGTCTTATTTTAAACTCTGTTGTCTCCTTACTAGTAGGTGGCCTTGGGCAAGCTGGAATTTTGGGTCCACATTGATAAGGTGGCTCCATTCTGACCTTTTCCAGATTCCTGGGGGTTCTTGTACAAATCCATAAGGTCCACATGCATAACATCCCTTTGGCAACTCTGAAGTTCTGTGAAATGACAGTTATTGGGGAGTCAGTGGAGCAAGCCCCCTTGAAAACGACATTTATGCCTGTCCTAAGGAACTTTTGACCAAAACAGGCTAATATAAAGTGACCAATTAAGCAAATGAAGACCTAACAACACACCCTATGTTCCGAGCCTTTTCTACTGAGTCTTTGGAACAAATTCCTTTTAAGGGGACAATTCTAGGTCAGAGGGAATATATTGTTAGTCCCATACAAACAAGATGCAACTACTAATTTAATTTTAAACATTGGAGAATTTTGCCCCCAGGAGTGCATTTGTGTGTGTGTGGGGGGGGGTATGTGGTGCATTTGAGATTGAACCCAGGGCCTTACACATGTTAGGCAATCATTTTGCTATTGAGCTGTTTCCCGAACAAGAGTGGTTTGTGTATGTGTCTGTCTGCATGCATGCCCTACATGTGTGCCTAGGTGTGCTTACCTATGTATGTGTGTGCATGTTGAGGCCAGAAATTGACTTCTCCACCTTATTCTTTTGGGACAGGATCACTCACTAAACTTAGAGCTCATGGTTTTGGCTACATTGGATGTCCAGAAAGCCCCCTACACCTGCCTGTTTCTGGGTTCCCCTACTCTTAGCTCTGAGGTTACAGGTGTTCACTGACACACCCAGCTTTTAAGTGGGTATGGGGATTTGAACTCAGGTCCTCCGGCTTGCACAGAAAGCACTCTACCCACCGAACCATTCCCAAGCTCCAAGAGTGCCTTCTTTAATCTAAGTGTATTTGAATAAGAATTCTATATGAATAGAACGTATATCTTAAGACAGGAAAGTGAGAACTAGTTTACGCTACATAGAACGTCCAAGTGATTCAAATATACCCAGCTCTACCATTTAGGCAGGATCAGTGAATCTGTTTCCAGAGCCATCTGTAGGGTAATGTTGAGTCGCCTTAAAAATGGACTTTTTTTTTTACATGTATTTGTGTGTGCATGTGTGTGTGTGGGCCTGGTCCATGATTCCTATGTGCAAGCCCAAAATCGCCTTGCAGGAATTGGTTCTCCGTCCACTGTGTGGGTTTCAGGGATTGCACACAGGCACCTTTACCCACTGAACAGCTCATCTACCTGCCCCTGTCTACTTTTTTTTTTTTTTTTTTTTAAATTTTTTTTTTGGTTTTTCGAGACAGGGTTTCTCTGTGTAGCTTTGCGCCTTTCCTGGGACTCACTTGGTAGTCCAGGCTGGCCTCGAACTCACAGAGATCCACCTGGCTCTGCCTCCCGAGTGCTGGGATTAAAGGCGTGCGCCACCACCGCCCGGCATCCCTGTCTACTTTTTAATGGCTCGCTGACCATTCCGCCACCTCACGAAGGCCTGGGCATTTGGATTGCTGAGGTTCTGAATAGCTGCCACTTTCAGTACTTTCAGGCAGGTGACCCAAGTCTGTTCCCAAAGGAGTCACAGCCTGACTTTTTTCATCACTGTGGTAGTTTGAATGTAATTGACCTCCATAAGCTCACATGGAGTGGCACTCTAAGGAGGTCTGGCCTTGCTGGAGTAGGTGTGATCTTGTTGGAGGAAGTACATCACTGTGGAGGTGGCCTTTGAGGTCTTCATTCCTCAAGCTATGCCCAGTGTGGACATAGACTTCTGCTGTCTGTGGCTCAAGATGTAGAAATCTCAGCTCCTTCTCCGGCACCATGTCTGCCTGTGCGCTGCCATGTCCTGCCATGACGGTAATGGACTAAACCTCTGAAACTGTAAGCCACCACCTCCAATATTTTCCTTTATAAGAGTTACCATGGAGGGCTGGAGAGATGGCTCAGAGGTTAAGAGCACTGACTGCTCATCCAGAGGTCCTGAGTTCAATTCCCAGCACCCACATGGTGGATCACAACCATCTGTAATGAGATCTCGAACCCTCTTCTATATACATAATAAATAAATAATTAAAAAAAAAGAGTTACCATGGTTGCTGGGCAGTGGTGGCACTTGGGAGAAGGTGGATCTCTGTGAGTTTGAGGCCAGCCTGGACCGTTACACAGAGAAATCTTGTCTCAAAATACCAAAAAAAAAAAAAAAAAAAAAAAGAGTTGCTGAGGTCACAGTGTCCCTTCACAGCACTAGAACCCCTAAGATAATCACTACCAAAGGGACTTTGCCTCCCTCCTTGTCCTCCATTGTCGCAGTTGACTTGGGTTGGGAAATGCGAATGTAGGCTCAGTCACAACTTCCAGCTCAATGACATCTGTGGTATGGCATGTGACTGTCTGTCCTAAGTCCCAGCTTGGAACTGAAGACTTTTGTGTGTTGCCAATTCCACATTAACCTTAATAGTAGGAATGTTAGCGATGATTTCTCCAACTGTAATCTGTAAAAACTAAAAACTAAAACTGTGAGTTTTCCAGCATTATCTAACCCCTGAATTAAAACCCCCATTTCCTGGCTTCCAAAGAGTTTGGCAAAAAATACTTCAGAGAAAGAAAAAAAAAATCGAAAACCAAAGCCCTCCAGTCCGGTGAAGGCCTCGTCAGCCCTCAGTGATTCTCAGAGCTAGGCCCATGTCTTGTTCTGTGACTCCTTTTGGAGCTGTTGGGACTACAAGTCCCAGCAGTTTTCCATGTCATACTCCTGGGATGGAGTGAGCTGGAAGTCAGTGGCCGCTGTGGCTGTACTCTATGATTAGTGGTATTTATGTGAGTATGTGTGTATTTATTTTTGAGGCAGGGTCTCACTCAAACACCAAGGCAATCCTCCTGCTTTAATCTCCCAAGTATTGGGATTGTAGCCATGAACTACCACATAGGGTTTTGCTATGTGGCCCAGACTGGCTACAAATTCATGGTCCACTTACTTCCACATCAAATTTAACTTATAAATTAGTAACATCAAAAAATCAACAACAGCCAGACAGTAGTGACATACGCTTTTAATTCCAGCACTCTGGAGGCAGAGGCAGGAGGATCTGTGAGTTTGAGGCCAGCCTGGGCTACAGAGTGAGTTCCAGGACAGTCAGGGCTACACAAACTGGGGGAAAAGGCAATAACTAATAGCAATGTAGCAAGAGCACAACAGTATACCGAGAGAGAAGCTATTTGGGAGATGGTACGCATCAGTCAGTAATCCCAGGAACTCGGGAGTATCACGTGAGCGTGACTTTGAGATCAGCCCAGGCAATATAGAGACTAGCTCAAGGAAGTAAACGGATTTAAAACTTACGAGTTGTTTATTTCTGTAATTTTCCATTCAATATTATCAAACTTCAGTTGGAAAAGCAATGATTGCTCAGAGAATATTGTGGGCTGGAGGGTGGGGAGAGGCTTCGGTGATTTAATGCGCGGACTGAGTTCTGTTCCCAGCCCCCACACCAGGCGATTCACAACAGCCTATAACTTCAGCTCCAAGGGCTCCGACACCGTCTTCTGGCCTCCGGACAGCTGTACTCATGTGCACATACCCACAGACAGCTACAGAGACGTAAACACATACTAAAAAAGAAAAAGAGAGAGCACGATGGAATTTTATGCACTACATGACATTTGCTAAGAATATCAAAGTAAGTGACCTAGTACACACAAAAGGAGCTACGTGAGGTGACAGACAGGATTGTATACATATGTCAAAACTCCGTGTGTGTCTCATCTTAAATACACACAGTGTTTATCTGTCATTCATACCTCGGCAAAGCCGAGGAAACATTTCTCCATGATCTTTGGTCTAGGAACTATTCTAAGAGGTAGGTGGGTTGGCCTCAACATGGTGTCGTGTATGATTTAATAATGTGACCTTAGGAGTCCTTTTAGAAAAATATTCAAAAGTCACATGTGGGCAAAAAGCTCCTCGTGTGTAACTAGAGACGGCTAATAATACTTGTTCTGGAAACTTCCTTATTTCCTTTCCTGTTTTCTCAAGTTGAATGCATGCATTGATAACATTTGTTTTTGCCTTTGTTTCTTTTCAAGAGGAATCCATCCATGCCTGTGGTAGCTTCTAGATGGCCACAAGGCTCACCCCTCCTTCCATCTGTGCCGTTTCCATGGGACTCTGCAGTGCCCTCTCACAGCGGGTGTGTCAGTCGGTGTCACCCCACTTCTGGATGGTAGCTCAGTCACATGACTTGCTTCAGCTACTGGGCTGCTAATAGCTGTGACAGAGAAGCTCAAAGCGGCTCGTATATTGTGGCTTCTGGCATCTCTAGGATGCATGTCCCAGCTAGCTTGCTGGATGGTGAGGGACGTAGGAGGCAGAGCTGAGTTGAGACCAACTAGGTCAGCCATCTACCAGCTGGCCCCCAACTAGGCATGTCCAATCGAATGCAGGAGCTCTTGCTGTTGCACGTCCCTGGCTTCCAAGTGAATGTTAGGCAGCCTGATGATAGGAACTGCCTGAGACCTCCAAAAACCTAAGGCCTGTATTTGGTCCACAGGAGAAGAGAAATGGGTTTTCAAATGCCCGCACTGGTAATGTTGGTGGAGGAATTGGTGTCTCATTTGTCTCCAATTACAGCAGCCCCATCAGAATCTTAAGTCTACAAATTAAGCCATATTACAAGTACGTATGATTCAATAAAATGACCATCCATCAGATCTTAAAAGCCCCTTTAGAAAAATCTTCAGAACTCATATGAGGGCCCAAAGCACCACATGGGTAACTAGGGCTAGCTAATGTTTATTCTGGAAACTTCCTTATTTCCTGACTTACAGAATTTCCCCCTTGTGAACTCAGCATTCACAGCCTAGGTCCCTAACAAGCATCTCTGCACCCACATAAAAGGCATTTCATAGGTACTCACAGCAAAGTCCTAATTCTTCAATAGTTCAATATTATGTATGTTGTCTCTCCTGATGAATAGAACCCTTTTTCGTCCTGCCATTAACAAACTTGGATTCTCTCAAGTGACTGGAGAGCACTTTGCAAGCCCGAAGTTCCAGAAAAACCTGTTAAGTAATAGCAACAATAAAAGCTTATTAGCCCAGCCGGGCGGTGGTGGCGCACGCCTTTAATCCCAGCACTCGGGAGGCAGAGCCAGGCGGATCGCTGTGAGTTCGAGGCCAGCCTGGGCTACCAAGTGAGCTCCAGGAAAGGCGCAAAACTACACAGAGAAACCCTGTCTCGAAAAAAAACCAAAAAAAAAAAAAAAAAAAATAAAAGCTTATTAGCCATTTCAGACTCTGAATCAAGACTTTCCATCCTTTGCATCCAATTAGACGGGTTATGTTCTTAAGGAACACGTAGAGTTACACCTCTCTTCCCTTCCAGATTGGGAATAGAAACATGGTCAAGACTCTGTAAGAGACCCACAAATGTGCATCTAAATAAAGATGCCTTTGGGATTGCTTTTCGCCACTGCCTTGGTCCCCTGGAGGTTGGGGGTGATGTTAGTAAGAAAGCCCATGTTTGGAGGAAACTCATATATATCAGTTGTTTCAGGGATATTCCCTTTTAAAATTATTTATTATTATTATTATCATACCTGTGTATGATGTGTGTGTGTGTGTGTGTGTGTGTGTGTGTGTGTGTGTGTGTGTACACGCCATGACATGAGTGTAGAGGTCAGAGAACAACTTTGTGGAGTGCTTTTTCCCCTTCCACATTTATGTGAGTTTTGGGGATGGAACTCATGTCACCAGGGTTCCGTGGCAAGAGCATCTCACCAGCCCCTAGGGAGAGTTTCCTGTTAAGGCCTCCTTATGCCCTCCTGCAGTATGACGCTGCTACAGAATTATTCCTAAATTACATGGAAATGGGATCCGTGGGCCGCTGAAGAGATGACTTCGGCTTCAAACTGAAATGCTTAGCTCAAGACCCCAGCCTCTCATAAGCCCTGTCCCACCACTCTTACTTAGAGACCTATGTCTGCTTGTTCAGTCGAGTGGTCGGTCACGTGTGACGGGTCCAAGCCAAACCCTGCTACTTACACACTGGCCCGCCTGCCAAGACTTGAGAAGACAGAAAGAACGGAAGGCGCCCAGTCTCCATCTTGATTGCCAGTTGAAGCGATGCTGTTTGGGATATATTGGGTTAAAAACAGGTCAGCATGCCAACCAGTCTCATCTGCTTCTTTTTACCATTTTTTAAAAACTTTGTGACAAGGCCTCAGTAGGTAGCCTAGGCTGGCCAGTAACTTGCATGTAGACCAGGCTGGCCTTGTACTCATAGAAATCTGCCTCTTCCTGCCTCCTGAGCCCTTGGATTAAAGGTGTATGCCACTGTGCCCAGCCTTCTTCTTCTTCTCCTCCTCCTCCTCCTCCTCCCCTCTCTCTCTCTCTCTCTCTCTCTCTCTCTCTCTCTCTCTCTCTGTAAGAAAACTATCATTTATGTTCCTGGGGAACAGGAAGAAAGGAAGATCAATATTAGGGTGCGGCAGGACGGTGGATGATCTAGCAGCCTGCCTTCAGGTTGGAAGGCAGGAGGGAGTGAAGAATTAGGGCTGGGAAATGGTTTAGCCAGAGGACCATGCGATCATGAGGACCTGGGTTAGGGTTCTAGCACCCATATAAAAAGCTGGGTGCAGAGGCGTACATCTTAAATATGATTGCTGTTAGTGAGGGGCAGAGACAGGCGATCCCAGGAGCCTGTGGCCAGCCAGTCTAGCTGAACTTGTTAACTATAGGTTCAGTGTGACTTACTATCTTAGAAAATAGAGAGTGACTGAAGACACCCGATGATGTGCACCTCTGGCACCCCCACACCCCTTGTCCCCATTAATCAACAAGTTGGCTTGGAAACCCAGGACAGCCATGTAGTGCGTAGTGGGAGTTTTGTGAACAATAGGCCGCAGAGACAATGGTGGTCCTATAAAATTATGTGAACTGAAAAATTCCCATTGCCTAGTGACATTATAGCCATTGTAGTCTGTGAAAATGCATGCCATGATGTTGGCCTGGGTGACAAAATCAACTAACAATGCAGTTCTCAAAACTTGTCCCTGTCATTAAGTGACACCAACCATACAGCAGCACTCTGGCTTTTGTTGTTGTTGAGACAGGGTTGTTGTGTAGCTCTGTGTAGTCAGACTTTTAGGTCAGGACCATCAGCTCCCTATTAATGACATGGAGATTTATTAATTATGAAAGCTCGGCCTTAGCTTAGGCTTCTTTCTTTCTTTCTTTCTTTCTTTCTTTCTTTCTTTCTTTCTTTCTTTCTTTCTTTCTTTCTTTCTTTCTTTCTCTCTCTCTCTCTCTCTC